GGCAGCTGACCGTAGTTATATGCACAGGCTGAGCTGAGATCTGCCACACCTGACTCAAACCAGAACTATCCAACTGAGCCCAGCTCAATTTGCTGAAATCATAGGATTTTGAGCTAAGTAAATTGTTACTGTGTTAAGCTACTAAGATTCAAGGTGGTTGGTTACATAGCAAAAGATAACTGATACTAGCACAAGTAATTCTATTATATATATTATAATAAATTTAAAAAATGGTAAAGAGAAAGTAATATTTTAAACAATTTTAAACTTAATATTACTTATTAATAGAATAATATATCGATCTAATTATAGTTTGATTTATTTCAATATATCCAGCTAGTTATAGTTTGGTTTTAAAGTTATTGTTTGTAAAACATACCTCACAATTATATGGCTCAAAATGGTAAGTATATCATTAGCTGCACTTAACAAATTATGATTCTCGTTTTTCAATTCTCTTCATAAATCTTTTTGTCGAAACTAGCTAGTACATACCTTTTTAAAGATATTAATTTAGCTGTTCTTATAGACTAATGAGAAGATGTTACATTTTAAACTCATTATAATAAATACAATAATTTCAGAATCTACCCACTAAAACCCCTTATTTTGAAGATTTCAAAAAGGAAGTTATACAAGCCACCTCCATACATAACTTTTGGCAAAATAATCACAACATGGTAGAAATATTGCTTTTCTAAGCATCAGTTTTCCAAATGCTCTTTTCATAAAATAAGTTTCTCTTAAAAGTAGTTGACACATAGGGCAAGGTCTAGAGGGGTCCCAATTGTGAAGCTTTCATTGTCCCCATGGATGTGTCATTCTTCCTGATCATTAATGTGTGGCAATAGACAGAGTATTCTCAATCAGGGGCTCTTTCTTGAGATTTGGTGCCCAGACTAGGGGAGGAAGAAACTTTACCTTTCTAGGTTCTTCCAGCTGGTCTAATAATTAAACCTACATGAGATATTTTAACAAGAGAAAATAACCAAATTTAATTATATATGTATGTTTGGGAACCCCACATATATATGAGATTCAGAGACAGAAAATAAAAATGAGGTATATATGGCATTCTGAGCTAAGGATGAGGTAAAGCACTGTGGGGCTTCAGAGGGGAGGAAGGTCATTCTCAGGACAATTAGAAGGGTAGATCTTCAGTAATTAGAATTCTGCCCTGCCTTATATAGAGGTCATAAAAAGTTATATCTGGCAATAATTCTTATTATGGGCAAGGCCCCTAACTGAAATTATTTAAGGGAAAAGTAAAAGTTTCTCATGAGCCCACAGTCTCAGTTGCCTTCAGCTCAAAATAATTCACATGCCAAAGTATCATCTTGGGGAGACTTGTTTTGGACCCCTTCGAAGGCATGCTTGATTAAATCCTTTGGCACAAAGTCAAACTATCTCCAGCATCACTCTCGTGTCTGGGCTAATATGACTCAAAGCCCCAACCGTCTAATCAAATGGTTGGTCTTTCTGGCTTGGCCAGTCCCATCTTTAATCATCTTGTTAGCATAAACTATCTAGAGGCCCACTATGAGTGACTTCATTAACATCAAATATCAAGGCTCACCATCAATAATAAAGACACTCCATCAATAATAAAGACACTCCTATAAAGACACTCAGGAAATACCAAGGATTTAGAGGCTACCTCCCAGGAACCGGGTACAAAGGCCAGCCAAATTTTTGATTGCACAGATGAGATGCCACATGTAGAAAGTGAATGAACAAGTAGAGGTACGCCATCAACGTCTCAGAGTTGTGGAACCTCCGCTCTTTCCTCATAATAGACCCCTTACCACACATGATGTTGGTCTACAACCAACACAAAATCCATACGATATTAGTAAAGCTTATTTTCCTTAACTTTTTAAATAGATAAAAATTTTATTTCTGTGTCCTCAAAGATCCTCTAGTATTTTATTTCTGTGCCCTAAAGGATCCTCTTTTATACGACATGAGGTACTTTGTGCTTCATTTTTGAGATTATTGCCCTAGAAATCCCTTGGCTAAATAATTTAAAGAATGCTATGGACTGAATGTTTTTGTCTCCCAAAGTTCATATATTGACATTTTAACCCCCAATGTGATAGTATTAGAAGATGGGACCTTTGGGAGATGATTAGGTCCTAATGAATCAGAGGATGGGGCTCTCACAAATGGGATCAGTGTACTTCTAAAAGACCCTGGAGAACTCCCTTGCTCTTTTTGTCATATGAGGATGCAGTGAGAAAATGGCCATCTATGAACTAGAAAAGGGGTCTCACCAGACATAGAATCTGCTAGCACCTTGATCTTGGACTTCCCAGCCTCCAGAACTGTGAGAAATAAATGTTTGTTGTTTAAGCCACCTTGTCTATAGTATTTTTGTCATGGTAGCCCAGATGACTAAGATAAAGAGATTGAGGCAGATTTTATTATTGTTTTCAAATGTTTTTTTTTTTTCCTCTGTGAGAGTATTAAACTTTGTTGCCCTTAACATGTCTCCCTGTAGAAAAAATGTATGTCCCTGCCCTATTCACAGGCTTGTCCAAGTGACTTGCCCTGGCTCATGGAATCAGAGTGAATGTAATGTATACATTATCTGAATAGAGAATTTGAATGTTACTACATGTTTCAGCTCACAAGGAGCTGCCCTATGATCCTAGGTTCCAGAATGAGAAAATACTAACTGAAGAGCCAAGCAGAGTTACAGTGAACTTTAAGCAGACCCTAAGTCCACATGTAATGTGAGCAAGAAATAAATATTATAAGCCACTCAGATTTGGGAGTTGCTTGTGATACAATGTAATCCAGTTATAATGTGACTTACTCCACAGAAAGAGTGATGCCTTTAGGAATATATTTTGCTTTCTCCTTACAAGCTTAGATTGTTAAGGTTCTGATAATTAATGATTCTTATTGGGAGAAGGGTAAGTTCATGCACACCTGTCCACATGCAAGTGCTTGTTAGGTCCAGTAGTTAATTGCTAGAAAATGTGCAAGAGTTAGCTCTTCCCCTTCCCTTAGCGGTGAGGGTCTTGGAGGCTGAGCAGGATAAAGAGGCTGTCCATAGGGTGGGGCAGCCCAATGTGGGGAGTCAGAGCCCAGGCTGGGTGAGGAGGGCATACGTACATGAGGGTGACCTTGCGTAGGACGTTAGAGTGTAAGTGGGGTAAGGATGGATTCTGAGTGGAGGTTGGGACCTGCATCCAGAATCAGTGTAGAGAAAGTAAGGAAGCCTTCTTATGGAGGGTAGCCTAGCATAGGGTGTCAGACTTGAGCAAGGTGAGGAGGATGTCCATGGGAGTTGCTGGCCTTGTGCCGGAACACCGAAGCAGAATGAAGAGGGCATCAAAGGAGGCCCAGAATGGAGAGTCAGAGAGTATTCAGGGAGAGAAAGGCATCTTAGGGAGGATGTGGCAGCCAAGATGGAAGATAGGTTCTATTCAGGGGATTGATCAAATATGGCATAAACAAACAAAACAGAAACAGAACAAACTGATGGATGCCAGATGAGAAAGGGGTTGGGGGGCTGGGTGAAAAAGGTGAAGGGATTAAGAAGTACAAACTGGTAGTTACAAAATAGTCAAGAGGATGTAAAGTACAGCATAGGGAATATAGTCAATAATATTGTAATAACTATGTATAGTGCCAGGTAGATACTAGACTAATCAGGGGGATTACTTCATAAATTATATAAATGTCTAACCACTATGCTGTATACCCGAAACTAATATAAAATAATATTGAATGTCAACTGTAATTGAAAAAAATTTTAAAGGATAATGGAAGCAGATTTCTTATTGTCACACGAGGGAGTTAGAAGTGTGGAAAGGGAGAAAACTAGATAGAATAAACTCTTTTGTGTTGGAATTAGAGGTATTAGTATGAACTTATATTTTCAATATGTTTAGATATGGAAATATATATATAAAATGTGTGTGTGCACACGCATGTATATGCGTGTGGGTGTGTATGTTATGCAGCAGAGGGAAGAGTTAGGTGGGAGAGATTAAAAGAAGGAGGATCATTAGGGGAGAACTGAATTGGGTGTGAGCTGGGAGCATGTCTGTGGAAAGAGTCCACATGAAGGATTTAATTTTTAGAGTCTTTTTCTTTTGGCCTTTGGGGGCGGAAATCATATCTAGCACTCAGTTTATCTCCTTGTAAATTGTGATTCCATTAAATTATCCTAACTGTTAAAAAATAATATGTACCAGTATAGCTTTTCGTTGTGGTGTTGTGGGGATTAAAAGGACAGAGAAGGGTGAAATAGAGAAGGGTGGCTTACTCCTCTAACATCCGATAGAGAAAGCTGCTTTCAGGAGTTGCTGGCCTTGACTGTAGCAAAATGAATGGAGATTCATGATGTAGTTAGGAAAAGCAGGAAAAAGCCAGGAGCACTGAGGGGCAGCTTCAGAAGGCATATAATGTAAACTTTTACTTCCCCACTATGTTAGAGGATGTCAATTCTTGAGACTGAGAAGCTGACACACAAGTTTTTGTCAAAGATCCTCTTAGAGTGTAGTCCCAAAAGGTTTTCTGATCAGCCACAAATGATGGGGAGTATGCAGTAAAAGTGAGTACATGCCAAGATTGGTTGGTCTACAAATAATTATGTTTACATGTAGATGCACACAAATATTTAAATTTTACTCTTGCTGATCAGTTCAAATAACAGTTCTCAGAAGAAATTTCTCTAATTGCTTAGTTCCTTTTTCCTTCCTGTTTCTTTACTCTACGTTTTGAGTTCCTTCTTTTATTACCCTTGCTAGCGTATGTTTAAAGGCTATGACTTCCACTATGCTGGTCTTGGAGACGGGGCCTTTGTCTTGAGGTTTTCAGGTTTAATGAGATTCTTTTCATGACTACTTGCCTATCCGGGGCCTCTGTTCTCATTTAGTTTCATAATCTGAAGTATGACAAGTTACCGTGATGTCTGGTTTTCATTTTAAGACATTTTAAGGAAGAGATGAAAATTATTTTTTGAAGAGAGAAAGTTTCTTCTCAATATGACTTCAGAGATTACTTACGCTGAAGTGAGGTTCAAAAATGAATCCAAGTCTTCAGGCACCAAATCGGAGCCTCCTGCAGGTAAGAAACATTTTCTGGTGGTCAGAGTTAATGATGAGATGAAGGGTGAAGAGAGAATACTGTAAACAAAGTGTAGGTGATAGTTGCTGTTTTTTTGACTGGCTACAGTTTGGAAATACAGGATTCTCAGAAGATTGAGTTGGCTGAAGATAAACATTAAAGGTTGTACAGTTGTACTATAACAAAACTGAGGTGTGAGAAATCCACTACAGTCCTGAGCTAAATAGAGTGCTAATTATGAAGAAAAGTTGTCCTGTGTCTTTGAGGCTCAGAGATACTGCAGTCAAGAAATTGGGTACAAAAACAAAGCCCACTAAATTATCCATAGCCCCTGCAGATTGATGAACTAGTGGGCTTTGTTTCTTGGTCAGTTAGAGGGGAAGAGTTTGGGTGGAGAGTGTCGTGGGTGTATTTGTTAATACTAGACTAAAGTGGAACAAAAGATCATTGCAGATAAAAGACTAGAAAGTCTTATAAAGAAAGTAAGTCCCTTATATCTTAAGGGAAAATTGCTCTGTAATCAGAACACCCCTTGCATACTGTATCTCTGAGACGGATTCAACTAAGCTTGGGATTAGATCAAATAACTTGAGTAGCTTTATGATATTTCAGATATAGAGCAAAAGAGAGGAAAAAGAAAAGCATGTAGATTATATACGATAAGAAGCTGTGAGAAGGGGGTTGTGATTGCTCATGTTTTCCAAAAAACTTCTGTAGAGATATGGAGAATGCTCAGGCAAAAAATTTTTTCCCCTTAAAAATTGTATATAACTTCTTTATTACATTTTAAAATGTTCCCTGTAGAAAATTTTAAAAACTAGAAGTACATAAAAATTTAAATTTTATTCTTACCATGTAGAGATAACTATTACTTACATGTTATTCTATATTCTTCCAGATATAAATATACATAAATACATATCTATATTTTTTCTAAAAATGAGATCATAATATACATTACTGAGGAGGGTTTTTCTCCCCTACTTGACAATATATTATAACTTTGAGAATATTCTCAACCATGAAATGGTGACTAAAACGTTCTGACATTCATTATCTTAAGGATGTGATGAGAGATGATTATAAATATTTACCTGCTATGGCATTATTTAAAGTAATTAAAGTTGGAAACAACCTGAAAGATTACTTAAGTATGTAATTAAGTACTACATAACCACAATAGAGTATCATAGAAGAAAATATGGTGGTATGAATAATGTTCATGATATAACGTATAAGAAAATAATAGGTCAGAAACCAGTATGTTCAATGTATCAATCATGTAGGAAAATGTGTGTGTATATATACTCTAACAATTGCTGAAAGGATATATACCCAGAATATTAATAATAATTGCCCTCAATGGCAGAAATTTGTGCTTTTATGTGTTTTTCAAAGTTTCTACAATGAACATTATTATTTTCTTCCTATTTTTGTATTATTTCAAATGTTATATCATTAGTAATAGCATGTCATCCAAGAAGAGGAAGAGAAGGAAAAAGAGTAAGTAAAGAATGTATTACTGAGTAAACTAATTTAATTTTTCCTTCAACTCTTAAAGAGAAGACCAGCCCTCAGAGAAGTAACTTCAGTTTTTCCAAGGTACTTTTTCCATTGCTGACACTTCTGCTGCTATTGGCAATCTCATTTTTTATCGCTTTTATCAGTAAGTATCCAAATGAGACTATAAGGAATGTCTGTCTTACCCAAAGAGAGGATATTCATTAGATACTGATATTTAACAATAGGTTTATCCAGAAATCTAGGGAAAAAAGTCTACTCTTGGAGGAGTGTGGTGTGTGTGTGTGTGTGTGTGTGTGTGTGTGTGTGTGTGTATGTGTGTGACATAATTAGTGGGAACTCATTGGAAATGTTCTTTATTTGAATTTAGTTACTTTTCTATAAAAATAATGGAATTCACTCTCTTTATAGAAATTGAAGAGTATATGTGTGTGTATGTGTTTGTGCACACATACATATTTTGGGATGAGCATGCGAACCAAGAGATGGGAAGAAATATTCCAGGAAGAGTTTCCCCTTGAATTTTTCCCTTAATTATTTCTCTCCTGCCCAAGACTTGTGAGATCTAAACACCAAATTAGTAGATAGGTGGATTTGTGCATGTCTTTAGTTTTAAGAATTTATCAAATTGTTAAAAGGCATAAAAACTAGTTTACACATGGGTAGATATTCTGTTCATTCATTTGGTCATTCAATAAGCAACGATGGCCATCTACTTTATGTCAGACGCTGTGCCAGACAGAGTCCAGACAGAGCCCTTGATCTCAAGAAGTTCAGAGAATGGTGGTAACTGGTCGCATGAACCAGTGGTTACAACATTGCACTGTTGTACAGGTAAGAAGCACAAGAGGCTGAGATAGACTTCCTGAAGGAGATGACATCTAAAACTGTGTGTACCAAAAATGACACAGATGTGAGATTGCATAGAAAAATGTGGACATGAAGGGCGATATAAGTATAAATGACTGAAACATATGGTGCGAAGTGAACTGTGAGAAATGAAGTTGTAAGTGGGAGAAATAAGCAGGGTTTTGATCATGAAGAATGTTGTGTACAATTCCGAAGAGTGTGAATTTTTTCCCTGAAGGTTATTGTATCAGTTATCTTCTAATGTTTAATAAACCAATCTAAAGCTTAGTGGATAAAAACAACAACTACTTATTTAGCTCATGATTTTGTGATTTGACAGTCTGGACTGGGCTCAGCTGGTCCTGGCTGAAACCAAGAGTTAAGGGAGAAGAGAACTAGGGTCAAGTATTACAAAGGTCAAAGAGGAAGAAAACTAAGAAAGAGCCATAGGATATAACTAATGACCATTATAAGGGTGGTTTTACTGGAGTGGTGGAAGCAGAAGCCATTTTCTCTCCATTCTTTTTCCTTCAAAGCTTAGCTTTTGCATGCATTGAAGGAGAATATGGATAAGTCCCTTTACACCCATTATAATGGAATTGTCGTGTCTTCTTTCAACTACTGATCTTTCAACTATTCCTAGCGAAATCTATGGTTTCAAAATCAGTAGTTTTAGGATTACATCGAATATGGGGTGATGGAAAATTTTTTCCATAGTCAGGATCCGTCTACATAATTGGGCATTTGTAGATTTTGTTTCTATAAAGAATGCAAGAAAGTAATAAAGAGCAAAGTCATAACATTACCAGGAAAATGAATGGTCTTACTTTCTTTTTCAGTTTTCTTTCAGAAATATTCTCAGCTTCTTAAAGAAAAAAAGATTTTAAAAGAATTAACTCACAATACATTGGAATGTAAGAGAGAAAATTTGACCATGGAAGGTAAAATTAATGTGCCTACAATTTATTTATTGACTATACTCTGCAAGTATCCCCCATCAATATTTCTGAAAAGAATCATAGGTAGATCATACTAAGAAGTTGAGTCTCATGATCATTTTAAGCTTTAAGTGTAAAAATATATAAGATCTAAAGTTCTTATGTGAATATCTTTAATTTGTCTGTGCAAGGTAATAGTCTTAATTGTGAAAAAGGTTATATTGATTTTGGATTTCTTCAGATTTCACTTCTTTCTGAAATTTTTGTGCACACTTGCTCTTTTTCTCACATAGTTAAAACTTACTCTTTCAAGAGAGATCTAATCCATTTGTGTTTTAAGAAAACACATTTGTTTTAAGAAAACACATGTGCATAAAACATTTCTGGGAGAATACATAAAGTACTCTTACAGAGTTTTACCTGTGGAGTCCAGGGTTGAAGATGTTGGAAGAGAAAGTTTTAGTTTTGTTTGATGAAGATGATGATGATGATGATGATGATATAAAATGATTTTAATATGGATGTGAATTATTTAAATTAGAAAAATAGACTATTTTTAAAGTTTTATAGTTATAGCAAAATTGAACAGATAATAGAGTTCCCATATTACTCCCTTCCTCTGTGTACACAATTTCCCCAATTATTAACATCTTATATTAGTAAGATATATTCATTACAGCTGATGAACCAGTAGTGATAAACTATCATTAAAGTTCAGCATTTATTCAGATTTCCTTAGTTTTTTTCCCTCCTCTTTAATTCTTGCGCACCCCCCCCCCACCTATGGATGTTGTTGTTTTCCCTTAAGAACTGGATCTCTGAAGGCGGGGTGCCCCTCCCACACACTCATGGGGTGCACCCAGCCCCCCAGGGCCTGGCACACCCGGGGAGTGAACCCGGGACCTTCTGCGTGTAAAGCAGCCATGCTAACCACTACACTGTGGAGCCACCCCAGAGTTCTTACCTAATGTTATTTTATTTGTTCTAGGATTCAAGATACCTCATTACATTTAATTTTCATGTTTTTTTGGACTCTCTTGGCTGTGATAATTTTTTTGAATGTTTTTGTTTTTGATGACTTTGACAGTTTTGAGGAATAATGGCCAAGTATATTATAGGATATCCCTCTATTGGAAATTGTCTGATGTTTTTCTAATGATTAGACAGGGGTTATTGGATTTTTAGAGGAAGATCACAGACATGAAATACCATTTTCATCACCTTATATCAAGGATATATATTACCAACATGATTTTTGACGATTGATGTTGACTTTGATCATCTGGCTGAGGTAGTGTTTGTCAGATTTCTCCATTATAAAGTTATTCCCCCTCCTCTTTTTTCATAATGTACTCTTTGGAGGGAAGTTGCTGTGTGCAGTCTACAGTTAAGTATTAAAGAATTATAACTCCTGTGTTTTAGAGTGGAGTATTATGCTAGTCTGCTTGCACTGCCATTGCAAAATACAGGTATTCCTTGCTTATAGAAAGTTTGCATTATGCCACTTTACTTTTACGAAAGATCTAAATTAGTACCTGTTTTTGCTAACCAAAAGAAATTTGAAGATTTTTGCTTTTACAAAAAAAGTCAAAAAGCAAAAATAGTACTTAGCATTTATTTTACAGTGAGCTGTTATAGAGGCAGTGCGCCTCCTGAACAATGAGAGTGGCCCCACCAAGCTTTGAGCTGTGTCTGCGAGCATCTGTGCTTTATCTTGATTTATTTTGTGCATCCGTGAACAACAAGATATATCCTAAGGTATCAGAAAAGCCTAAGAGAGGTTATTTTTTTTGGATCTGGGAATGCTTGAAAACATTTCCATGTAAATTACTGGTAATTGCTTCTTTGCTTTATGCCACTTTGGCTTACAAAAGGTTTCATAGGAACTCTCTACTTTTGGGTAGTAGCGGAAATCTGTATCACAAACTGGATGGCTTAAACAACGGACCTCTCTTCATCAGCACTTGCTGCTTCATCTTGCACTTTTATGTAATAGAGATGCCTTCTTTTCTTAAATTTTATGAACCAACCTTTACTAGCTTTAAACTTTTCTTCTGCAGCTTCCTCACTTCTCTCAGTCTTCATAGAATTTAAGAGAGTTATGGCCTTACTCTGGATTAGGCTTTGGTTTAAGGGAATGTTTTGGCTTGTTTGATCTTCTAACCAGACCACTAAAATTTTCTCCATATCAGCAATAAGGCTATTTTGCTTTTTATTTATGTGCTCACTAGAGTAGCACTTTTTCTTTGCATCGCAGCTTGGCTAACTGTTTGTGGTAAGAGGCCTTGCGTTCAGCCTGTCTTGGCTTTCAAAATGCCTTACTCACTAGGCTTAATTATTTCTAGCTTTTGATTTAAAGTGAGAGATGGGTGACTCTTCCTTTCACTTGAACACTTAGAGGCCATTGTAGAGTTATTCATTGGTCTAATTACAATATTGTACTGTGTCTCAGGGAATAGGGAGGTCTGAGGAGAGGAAGAGAAATGGAGAAATGACCAGTCAGTGGAGCAGTCAGAACACAAACATTTATTTATTAAGTTCACTGTCCTATATGGGCACGGTTCATGGTTTCCTCAAACAATTACGATAGTAACATCAAGGATCACTGATTATAGATCACCATAACATATATAATAATATAATGAAGAAAAAGTTTGAAATACTGTGAGAATTACCAAAATGTGACACAGAGACACGAGTGAGCAAATGCTGTTGGAAAAATGGCGCCGATAGACTTGCTTAATGCAGGATTACCACAAACCTTCACTTTATGAGAAACACGATATTTGCGAAGCCCAATAAGGCAAAGTGCAATAAAACGAGGTATGCATGTACTATATTTATTTTGTTGCTCAAATAGTTCTATCTGTGCCATTGGGAGCTCATTCAGTTGGCTCCTCTGCGCGTTTGGCACACCCCATCAATGTGTTGTTACGTTTTGTTTTTGAGTGCTTTCTTAATTTCTGGGGCTACAATATGCTCTGAGTTTATATTGTATATTTCCTTTCCCAGTCTTAGAATTATCTATTTCTCTGAGGAGCCATGGCTCCTGTTATTGAAGAATAGTATTAGAAACCAAAATCTGGACTAGGTATGCTCATTGCTGCTGGGGTGTGATTTCTTTTATACCTTCTCAGCTGACAGAACAACAATAACAACAACAACAACAACAACAACAACAACATATATATATATGTGTGTATGTATGTGTGTACTAACTTGTATATGTATGTGTTTGTGTGTATATTTCTATATGTGTAACTACCTGTATCTATAATAAGTTGAACATCAGTTTTTACTAATGTCTCCAACTCCAAAATCTATTACCACATGCATCATTCTACCCTATTCCCCTTGCTATGTTTAAATCACCACTCCAATAGTGGGAAATCTGGTTCTTTTTAAAAATTTAATTTGGTTATTAGTTTCAAGTATACAGTACATTGGTTAGACATTTATATAGTTTATAAAATAATCCCCCTAATTGCTCTTTCTCTCCTCTGGCTCTCCACATAGCCATTACATTAATGCTAACGGCATTCCCTATGCTGTGCTCCCCATTCCGATGACCATCTATCAACTACTAATTTGTACTTTCCTAACCCTTCACCACTGAGAAATCTGGTTCTACCATCTGCCCAATACATTTTCTTAATTATTCAATTCCAAGTATCACATATAAAACTGTCAAAATTGGAAATTCATACCACTATGGGAAACAACTTCATCAACTAGAATACTACAGTGCTTATGTACAGTTTCTTTTGTCTTTACTCCTACAGACTCCATTTCCAAAGTTACTTAAGTCATCACTACCTCCCCCACTCCCAACCCACACTTGTAGTACAGTTAGATTTTCTTGTCACAGTCTTAATTCTTTCATGGGATCCCCTGACATTCTAAATAAAGTTTTAAAATTTGCATACAATAAATATTGTGTTGATTTTTGACAAATACATAATGTCATGTATCCATTATTATAGTATCACACAGAGTAGTTTTACCGGTCTAAAAATTTCCTGTTCTCTCTCCGGTCTAAAAATTTCCTGTCCCCTCTCCTCCTCTCCAAACTCTTGGTAATCACTGAAATGTTTACTGTCTCTATAGTTTTGCCTTTTCCAGAATGTCTTATCTTTGAAATTATACAGCAGGTAGTCATTTTACACTGGCCTGTTTTACTTAGCAATATGCATTTAAGATTCCTCCATGTCCTTCCATGACTTGATAGTTCCTTCAAAAATCACTATTCCTTTGTATGGTGTACCAAAGTTTGTTTATCTATCTGTTGAAGGACATCTTGATTGCTTCCAGTTTTTGATGCTTATAAATAAAGCCGCTATAAACATTTGCATACAGGTTTCAGTGTAGATATAAGTTTTCAACTAAATTGGGTTAATACTTACAAGCATAATTGCTGAATCATATGGTAAGACTATTTTTAGTTTTGTAAGAAATTACCAAACTGTTTTCCAAAGTGGCTATATCATTTGGCATTTCTACTGCCCAGTATTAGCACTTGCTATTGTCAATTTTTTCAGTCATTCTAGTAAGTGTGTAGTGGTATCTCATTGTTGTTTTAATTTGCAATTAATAAATTGCAATGACATATGATGCCAAGCATCTTTCAGTATGCTTATTTACCATCTGCACATCTTCTTTGGTGTGGTGTCTATTTCATTTTTGCCCATTTTTAATTGGATTTTTTGTTTCGTTATTGTTGAGTTTTAAGTGTTTTTTGTATCTTTTAGAGATAAGGCTTTTATTACATATATATTTTACAAATATTTTCTTCTAGACTGTAGCTTGTCTTTTTATTCTCTTAAGCGTGTTTTTCACATAGCCAAGACTTTTTTATTTTGAGGAGACTGATTGAATTAATTCAGCTGGTTGGATCAATATTTCATGATTGCAGAAGTTTAAGTTTGAGATCAAGACACTAATTTCCAAAGAGACAACACAGATACACAGAGATACAGGCACACACTCATAGATTATGTTTGATTAGTTTTCTCCATATAGACATAGAGATAATATCAGATGACTGAATAAAGGGCATTAGTTACTTCAAACAACAAAACATCTCCACTTCAATGATTCAGATTGGTTACTTAAAAATAATGGTACACATATTTGTGTGCTAATTTATACCTCAGAGTTTTGTTTTTTCACTTAAAGGTACAGAAAATATGTTTGATCAAATTCAATTGTATGCATTTCTTTCCAGTATGAGGTCTACATCACTTGCCTGACTCACATTCAAGCAGGTGTTATCCTCAGGATGACATAACGCCATTTTTCACTCTACTGAATATTTGAGTCCAAACGGTCATAACATCTTAAAGATCTGATGCTTGTTCTATAATTGGCTTTGTCACCCTGAACTAATGAAGGTAAATTATAAAACAATAAATAAATAAGCAGCAATTATCCTAAGGGTGATATAATTACTTCTTGTAATTACCTTAAAGCAAGCTTTTTAGAGGCAACAATATGAATTTGTTTGATGAAATATTCTAGAAAAACAAGAACTCTCATTTTGTCTTTTTATAAATTTATGAGGTTACATTAATGGAAGGCCCTAGTTATACAAAGCCTGCTATAATGGGATTGTGTCATCCTGGGGATAACTATATAATGATAGCAATAACTCAGTGGAAATATAATGTAGTTCTTTAAATTGCTTGTCTTGCAATGAAACAACGTAAAATGCAGTAAGAACTTTGATAAATGTATTTTGTAAATTCTGATCCTGAATTCCAGTTATCCAGTCTGAACAAAGAATTATATTAACAAGGTTTGTACGTAATATATTCACTTTAATGAAAATAGAACAGCTTTTATGGCATTACTTAATTCAGGTGATATGGATCAAGTACTATATTCAGTCTGCTGTCTAGCTCACCAACTGTTGGCTTGCAAACTAGCTCCCCTACACAGAGGGCAAGGAGAGACATATGAAAAAAGCAGACCATTCCAAATTGGTAGGTGGTAATTTTAATGATGTTTCTCTTGGGTGGCTGCAAGAGAAGTAAATCTCTACCCCTACTTGCTAGAACCTTAAGTTTATATAGAGGCTTTAACTAGGTTCAGTCAGTATACCATGCAAATGGACTCAACACTACGTAACTATCTCAAGGGTGCCTTGAGGCAGCTTCTATGAAGGAAAAGGAAGTGAAATGCATATTCCAAAGACAAGGAAGTGGGTGAGGAGCCTTTGATTGACTGGCTTCCCCTCGCAGCTCAACAGGCAGTCATATCCTCTTGAGGACCTTCTCTAATGAAGCTTCTTACATGTCAGACTGGAAACTGGAAGTCTATTTATTTACATTTTTTTCAGTCTATTTTGTCTCTGTTCCGTTGGGTTATTTCTGTTATTTTGTCTTTCAATTCACTGATTTCTCTGGCCTCTCCACTCTGCTGTTGAGCCCATTCACTGAGATTTTTATTTTGGTTATTATATTTTTCCATTGTAAAATTCCATTTGGTTCTACTTTATATCTTTAATTTGTTTGCTGAGATTTTTTTATGTCTTTGCTGAGGCTTTCTATTTTTTTCACTAGGTTTAAACATATTTGTACTTTCTTGTTGAAGCACTTTTGTCCTGGTTTCTTTAAAATCTTTGTCAGATAATTCTAATATTTCTGTTACCTTGGTATTGGCCTGGATTTATTTTCTTTTATTAGATTAATTCTGAGAACTTGTGGTGTTTGATACGATGAATACTTTTCCATTGAAACCTGATGTTTTTGTATTATGTTTTAGGCATCTGGATCTTATTTAAACCTGTTTTAGCTGGCTTTTCCTGACACTACTCTGGCAAGGGAACAGGGGCTCTGCTTTGTTACTTCCTGATGTAGGTAGACTTGACCTTGACACCTGATGGGCGGGACTCATTATCTCTGAGTGAAGATGGGAGTTCTGGTTTCCATATATTCCTCTTCAGTCTTTAATTTTTACACACACTTTGCAAATTACTTGTCTTATATTGCACCTATATGGCCTTCTGTCAATACAGAGAAAGATTGGAGCTGCTGCCCAAAGAATTGGAAGTCATTTAGTTTGAACTGCTACTTTATTTCTAATGAATCCAAAAATTGGGCTGAGAGTGTGAAGAACTGCTCAGGAATGAAGGCTCATCTGTTGGTGATCAACAGCAAGGATGAGCAGGTATCTTCTCATAGAAAATGGAGTCAGGAATTTCACCTGGATTTTGAATTCTTCTCTTGGCTGGGGAGGAGGTTTTTCATTGTTTTGGGATATTGGTTCTGTGGCAAAAGGCTTTCAATAAAATAGATAAGAAAAGCTACTTAAGCCTTTCCATTTCATACCTTCTCCCTGCTTTTATAAAACTAACTGCCCCAAAATAAATGGGGCTATTTAAAATATAATATGTGGGGTTGAGTGGAAGGATGGAAATAGTTCAGCCTGAAATATCAGTTTATTATTTTAACATGTAAATGTTTTTAAAATTATTAAATATTTAACAGAGAAGGAGTTTTTAAAAAGTCAAATAAAGTTTAATCATAGAGAGTCACAATCAACAATCAGAAATGAAGTAAAAGAATCTCTGAGTTTGTGAAAGAAAAAAATGATTTAATCTGCAAAAGTTTTCTCAATCATAACTTTGAAGAATACCATCTCTTAGTGAAGAAAAGAGGGAAAGCGAGTCTGAGATAAGAATTCATTATGATCATGGAAGGAAATTGCTTCCATATGTATTGAACATTGCTATGATCTTAATATTTGCATCCCCTCCAAATTTATAGGTTGAAATTCTAATTCCCAAAGGTTATGATATTAGGGGCCTTCAAGAGATACTTAGGTCATGAGGGTGGAGACTTCATAAATAGATTGGTGTTCTCATAAAAAATACCCCTAAGAGCTACATTGTTCATCCACCATGTGAGGACACAGCTATATGCTGGCTATGAATCAGGAAGAGGAACTTATGCAACGAACCATGCTTGTTCGTTGATCTGGGATTTCAGCCTCCAGAACTGTGAAAAATATATTTCCGTTGTTTATAAGATCCCCCAACTGTGGTAGCTTGTTATAGCAGTCCAACTAGGTTAAGACAAACATCATGCTCATAAGTGATGTCTACAATCCTGCACTGCACAGCCAGAGAAGGCCTAAGACTCCTGGGCAGGGTTCCCGTGCCCATCCTCTCCTTTTCTTCTCTTCTCCCTAAGTCATGAAGAACTCAGTTCAATCTGAAGGCTATACTCTAAAGGCTATAACTGCTTTCTTTTCTTCCCTCAGGATTTTATCAGTAAGAAACTGGATAAAAAGGCTGCTTATTATATGGGGCTATCAGATCCAGAGGGGACAAGAGACTGGCAATGGGTCGATCAGACACCATACAACAAAAGTGCCACGTGAGTAGAGAATTAGATAAAGGAATTCTGAGTTTTGGATCATCAGGCGATTCAGGATGTCCCAACTATTAGGTATTAAAATAAAATAGCTCACTCTTCTTTTGACTCTTGAGCACTAGGTTAAATAATTTTATTTATTATCTCATTTAATTGTCACAAGAACTCTATGAGGCACACAATATTTTTCTCAATGTAGAGCTGAGGAAATGGAGTTTAGAGAGTTTAAGTAACTCAATAAATGTTATCTAATGACAGTGGTCCTGAAACCCGGGTCTATTTGACACCAAAGTCTGTGCTTTAAATCATTACATTTATATCTCTAAATATAACAAATATTCATGTCAGTTAAGATAATAACCAATTTTTAATATATTATATCTCTCATCAAGCAAATAAACTAAATTCTGATACTTTTATATCATACTTACTTATATATGTCTTTTAAAATTCAAATACTTTAGAATATTTTGATCCTTATATCATCTGTGTGAAATATATAGGGATTTTACTCTATTTTTAATTTTTTAGATATGTAAATGAGGGAAGTTAAATTACTTGTCTAAGCTAATAGGAATAGTAGCACATTTAGAGATTTTAACTTCTTCCTTAGACTCAAAAGCAAAACATAAAACAAAAACAAAAAACTACATTGATACTTGGAATCAGAGTGAAACCTTTTCATCATTGAAGGGAGCCTATAAACTGACATTTTTCAAGGAACAGGGCATACAGATGACAAATGGAAAGGGAGCCTCTAGGATATCTTCTGGGAAAGTGTTTAATGCAATAAGATGACACAATGCTGGGTGATGTAGGCACAGTTTTCAAGGGAAGGCCAGAGACACAGATGGAGAAAAAAACTTCATGAGAAGTGGGGGAGAATGATTTGGGCATATCTGCCTTGACTTCCACACAGTTCAACCTCAGCCTTCTTCCTCGCTCTTTCTAATCCTTCTCACTGTTTGAAGACACATCCTCATCTCTTTTCTCCCCTTTCAGATTCTGGCACCAAGGTGAACCCAGTAGTCCTGATGAGCGTTGTGTTATCTTGAATGCTCGATCATCAAAATGGGGCTGGAATGATGTCCCTTGTGAACCCCTTCAAAGGTCAATTTGCAAGATGATGAAGATCTTTATATGAATGGAACATTCTCCATGAACGTATGGTTGAATTGGTATCCACCATTAAAGAGATAGCTAATTTGTTTTCTAAAATTCATGTGTAAGTCTTGTATAAGTGATAGAAGTTTTCAGTAGCCTGTCACCTATTCCACTTAAGATAAAACCAGCATATGTTCATTCATTTATTCATTCACAAAATAAACATTTATTGAGCATTTTCCATGTGCAGACACTAGACTGGATAGCCTATTGGCAGACAAATGGAGGGAATATGAGCCTTCTCTCCCAATTTTTGTCTAATTGCTAAGAAGTTATATACTGATATAATGATTTGATTTGATTATAATTGCTAAGAAGTTAGATACTGATATAATGATTTCATCTCTCTGGATTTTCCTTTTTATGGGTTGGTCAGAAGCAAAATAACATCAACCATTACATTCCATTTCTCTCAGATTTATTATTTTCACTGAAAGCATGTTATGTGACAGTTGGAATATAATATACATGAATTGGAAGATAGTTCCAGCTTCAGCGCAATAGGCTCTTGGGCTTCTTAACATTCTCTGTTTGGTTTTGGACTGTCATTTAACATCAGACTACAGGCACAGGATAATCAGAGATTGAGCATTGGATAGTTAGAATTAAAGAATTATTATTTAGCATTAAAATTAGAAATTATTACTGGTGTGAAAAATAATATAAACAAAGCCACTTTTAAATGGAGTTAGAGCCAGCCTTGCACATCTGACTCCTCAAATCTTTGGAATGTTAAAACTAGGCCAAATAATCTTTGGACTGGGCATAAAGCAGCATTGTATCTCACACAACTGTTTGCAAAGATAACAAGAAAAGCTGATGTTATGACTACCTGATTGAAAATTAAAGACATTCTTTAGAATTAGCATTGCTGTGTTAATCTATCTACATCTATAGAAAGCCCTTTCTTCTATTCATGTAATTGTTCCCCTTACCTTTCTCAGAAATAACCCTCACCTTCAACTCCTAGTTGGGATACTATTTAGGTTTCTGTCTGAATCATTGCTTCCAGAATAGCTTTTGGGTCTCAAATAAATGCTTGTTGCTTCTCACTTTGGCCTTTTACTTGGCCTTTTATTTTCGTGTTAACACTGGTAACTTAACATAGATTTATATTCATCAGGTATTCTGATAATTTTTTCTTTTTTTTTTAGGTGAGACAACCCTTGGTTGACCTCACAGATTGCAAAGAGCTTTTCAGTTTACAATCCCTTATTTTTTTATTTTTTATGCCTACAGCACCTGGTCTTCTTAGGTGATCTCCTATGCAAGCACTAACCAGGCCCTACCCTGCTTAGTTTCCGAGATCAGATGGGATCGCACTTGTTCCGGGCAGCATGGCCATAGACCTGATACGTTTTTTATTTTGCTTAGTTTTATGGTTTCTATGTGTGGATCGCCACTCAAAATGGCCCCTTGTGCATTTGTATTCTCCTTTTTATTAAAGTTCTTACAGATCAACAGATCGTTTTCTTTCTACAAGGCCTGTAATTCATTGCTTTAGTATAGTAGTTAGTTATAACTGATCATGATAAAGCTAATTCTCATCATGGCTATCGCAATATGACCTGAGATTATACTCTGGTTTAATTTCTTTCTCTCTTTCTCTCTTTCTCTTACTCTCTTTCTCTCTTTCTCCCTTCCTTCCTTCCTTCCTTCCTTCCTTCCTTCCTTCCTTCCTTTTTTTTTTTTGCACAGAATGTTTTTTTTATGTTAAACTCTTCATATTAAAATAAAAATGACTATGACGATGCCACCCTGAACAAGCCCAATCCCATCTGATCTCGGAAGCTAAGCAGGGTAGGGCCTGGTTAGTATTTGCATGGGAGACTACCTAGGAAGACCAGGTGCTGTAGGCATAAAAAATAAGAATAAAAAATAAGGGATTGTAAGCTGACAAGTTGATCTGTGAAGTTAACCAAGGGTTGCCTAGCCTAAAAAAATAAAATAATAAAATAAAGTAAAATAAAATAAAATAAAAATGAATCAAAGACAGTAATTGTCTTTTCAGGAAAAAAAAAATCTCAATGCTCACTGACATTAGTTAATACCATCAGTAAGAGTCTATCATATCATTAAGTGTTATCCCCTCGTATGAATGAGAAAAGACAGTCTTATCATCTTTATAATTGATCATTTTATATTATAGCCAGGACAACAATAATTATATTATTCTAGTCTCAATTTTTTTTCTGGTTCACATAATTTTAGTCAACTGATTTTCATATTGAAGAGGTGTTGTTGGTTATGTCAAGTAAATTATTAGAGTAAGCACTTTAAAAAAGCTCTAATCAAAATTTTAAAGTGTAGCTCCATTCTTGTGAGATTATAAGAGTTTCTATATTAGTCTTTGCATACTGCATGAAGGATTTGTATTCTTTAGTATTCATGCATGGATAGGGAAAGTCACGATGTATATTTATAAAATCAGGCCACCATGTACCCTGATTTTCTTGATACAACTGAGTAATTACATTTACCACTCATTTCCTAACTATATCTAAAGTTGAGTTATTTTTCTATGGGTCTTATCTTATCCATTGTTTAGAGAATTTATAATTTATTTCCTAGAAAGCAACTTACATCACAATTCTGAGGAAACTTTATTTACAATGAGATTTTCCTGTTATTATTTCAATCGTATGGGGATAGAATGTAGGGCGGGCAAAAAGAACCACTTTACTAAATGCCTTTGCTTGTCAGAATAGAAGGAGTGCTTATACTGGAGTGAAATGGAGATGGTGATATTGATTAGTACTGGAATTTTTCTCCTCCTTCCACATTACATTTATGAATGTGGTTCAGAGCCTATTTTTAAAATTTTTCACTAGAGCATAATTAAATCAAAATTGTGTGTAATAGGTTTTATGTAAGATTTGTGTTTATAGAGTGACATTTAAGTGAAGCAGCATCTGGCTGGATTCCAATCAATGGATAGAATTGTGAAAAATAAAATGGTGGTTTTAAGATACTAAGTTTTGGGGTAGCTTATTATTCAGCAATATACAACTGAGACACCTTCAAATTGTATCACAGTTTTGAACCAAAATTCTGCAAAATAATGAAACATAGTAAATCACACTGTTGTCTCTGAAAAGATTAGTAACAATTTAGAAATCAGAGCAGATTAATTTTACCATTACTGAACAAAATGCAAAGTAAAAGTGTTCATCTTTTAATATCATTTAATTCCTATTCTTGTAGAGTGGTCATATTACACACATGTGGTTCTTAAATAAAAAATGTTTAATATAATATAATTGAAGTTTTTATCTACTATTAAGGATGTGCAATCAAAAATTGTTTTGAGATCATTCTTCTAGGAGATAGATCTTAAAATGCTTGTCTAATGTCTAGGCAAATGTTCTCTCTAAGGTAAAAGAAAAAGACAAGCTACATACAGAACTATTTGGAAAAAAATGTGTTTATGTGTCAGTTTATTTGGCAGACATATTTAAGTCCATAAATAAAATACATAGAATGTTTGGCTCTATATTCATCTCTATAGTTGTTATTGAAAACAAATAAACATATAAACAAGTAAACCTACCAATGCTTTAAGCTCTTTTGGTCAAATTGCCACTTAGTAAATGGAAGAGGAAGCAGAAAATCTGCGGAATGTCCGGTACTAGGGAGAACACTTTTGCCTATTGGAATTGAAGTGATCGACCCGGATGATTTCTCTGAGGTGGGAATCTCCTAACACCTGACAACTCTCAGGGCCCATTCAATGTTAATTTTCTTTAGATGATCTTAAAACGGAAACATGGATTAATAGTTTCATCTTTGCCAGTATGGAAATTATCAATGCTGTACACTTTGTCAAAGATAAATTTAATGATTCAAGGATGGAAGCAATAATGTGACAATTCAACTGTATTAAACCAAATGTTCAGTATAAAGGTTTTTGTTTTGTTTTGTTTCTAGTATAGGTGTTTGATTAACCGTATCTTCTCCACAATGAAATGTTCGGTGTCAGGTAAACTTGTTACAAATGTGATTTTATAATAAAGAACAAGTGTTTGAGACTTTGGCACATATTGTTGGTCTATTTATTCCTTCTTCCTTACAATCAAGCTTAAGTGTTGTTTAGAGAATCACTTTCCTTCATGCATATAGGATGCTAACCTCATATTCAGCTTTGTGGATACTAATTAAACCAAGGTGATCAAAACTATCACCCCAGTGGTTTGTTTAGGAATAGGTACAAACTACAAATCATTCCAATGAACTGCCTTGTCTTGTTTTCAGAGGGAGCTTATGCCCTTCTCCCAAATAATATGTTTGCTATAGATGGTTATTCTATGACCATGATGAAAACTAGCCTTAGGATGACAGGAACACTGTGGATTGTAGAGTAGAATGATGGAAAGACCTGTTTCCTTAAGGGTAGATGTACCACACTTTATCTAGTCATCTATTGAAGAACATTTTGGTTGTTTCAAATACCTAGGAGCGTGATTGCTGGATTATATACTAAAACTGTGTTTAACTTTGTAAAAAACCGCCAAACTGTCTTCTAAAGTGGCTATATTGTTTTTCATTCCGATTAACAATGAATGAGATATACTATTGCTCCACATCTTCACCAATATTTGATATTGTCAGTGATCTTAGATTTTAGCTATTCTAATAAGTGTTTAGTATGATATCTTGTTTTAATTTGCAATTCCCTAGTGACAAGTAATAGTGAGTATCTTTTTATGTGCTTATTTGCCATCTATATATCTTCCTTGGTGAGGTATCTGTTCAGATCTTTTGCTCATTTTTGAATTGAGTTGTTTGCTTATTGTTGGGTTTTAAAAGTTCTTTGTATATTTTGGGTACAAGTTCTTTATCAGATATGTGTTTTGCAAATACTTTCTCCCAGTCTGTAGCTTGTATTTTTATTATTTTTAACTGCACCTTTCACAAAGCAGAAGTTTTTGATTTTAATGAATTCAAACTTATCAAATTTTTTTCATGTATACTTCTGATGTTGTGTCTAAAACTCATTGCCAAACCCAAGGCCACCTAGATTTTTATCCCATGTTATAGTCAAGAAGTTTTATAGTTTTGTTTATACTTTTAGGTCTATATTTCATTTTGAGTTGATTTTTGTGAAGGTATAAGGTATATATGCAGATTCATTTTCACATGTGGATGCCTAGTTGTTCTAAGATCATTTGT